CATTTTTTAATGTTAGTATGACTAGCAATGTTCTTTCTACAATAAGCTACATGTAGTGATTAATGTAAGCATCTTTAACTTATATCATGTAAAGTGGATAATGGATATAGATGATTCATATAATTGTCTCTAAAATAGTTTTGGATTTTAGACGTAGTTATCGTTTTTCCAAGTGAAGTATAATTGATATCATTTGGTTATTGAGACCAACGAAAGATTCATAAATTTTTCCTTTGTCTTTGGAGCAGATGCTAATGAACATGAGGCTGCACCTGAAACTGTGTCTGTCACTGATGATAAGAAAAGAATCCCTCCACCAATTAAAGGATTAGCCCCGTTAGATTATCTGGATAGTTCTTGCATAATCAAGGAGAGGATGACACAGGCACTTCGATACTTCAAGGAATCAACGGGAGAACGTGTGTTAGCTCAGGTCTGGGCACCTGTTAAGAATGGCGGTCGTTATGTGCTTACAACTTCAGGGCAGCCCTTTGTTCTTGATCCAGACTGTAATGGGCTTCATCAATATCGAATGGTTTCTTTGATGTATATGTTTTCTGTGGATGGGGAGACTGATGGAGTTCTAGGACTTCCAGGCCGTGTCTACCGGAAAAAGTTGCCAGAATGGACTCCAAATGTGCAGTATTATTCCAGTAAAGAGTTCCCCCGTCTTAATCACGCCCTGGATTACAATGTTCGTGGAACTTTGGCATTGCCAGTATTTGAACCATCTGGTCAGTCTTGTGTTGGTGTACTGGAGCTCATAATGACCTCCCAGAAAATCAATTATGCTCCTGAAGTTGATAAAGTATGCAAAGCACTTGAGGTTTGTTCTAGTCATTCCTATACATAAAACTTTAACTAGTTGGTATGTCTCTCACGGACACTTGATAGCTTGTTTGCTGCACCAATTTTGTGTTGTCTAAAGGCTAGAGTTATCTAATAAATTTTGTTTTACTCGGTAGCGGCTGAGGTTATATTCATTTATCAAAGGGGTGACAAGAGATCAGTGAGTGCTATGCCATATTGCCATCCATCATTCTGTTCTTCTCTAGGAAAGTGCACTTTTGTGTTAAAGGAATACAGAGTTAAGCCGGTTTACCAGATAGACTCAAGTGAAGTGTTTTCTGGCATGCTGTATCATCTTTCCAGCACTCAGTTAAAAATATTTTGTCAAAAAAATTATCAATATGAACAGTTAAATGTAATGTTTTTTGAAATTGTTCTCTTGCTTTTGAGTGATGTGTATTGGTGCCAAAATCTCAAAATGGACGATCAACAGGCCCCTGTCCGAAAATTTCAGAGAGTCTGGATGAATAACCAATGCCAATTTTATTCAAGTACATGATGCGATTTAGAACATATATCTTATGATCTGTTAGTATATACTATAAAACTATGTAGGTATTTGTATGCTAGAATCCCAGATTGGATCAGATGTTTCTTACTTGTGGTGAAGAACTGCTGGAAGTTTCTATTTGTGTATTATTATTAATATATATATTTTTTTTGTGGATATTTTGACTCTGTTGCATGTGGTCTGATGAACTGGAATTCTCCCTGTTTAAGATCACAACTGTCTTTTGTTTTCATATGCATTTAATGGATTTCTTTCTCTCCTGCTGTGATTTTATATATTGCTGGTTCGTGAAGGTGCATTAGTGCATGTGCTCTTTGCTTCATGGGATATCAAATTATCAGCTAGTGTTGATTCAACTATTTTGATTAGTACTTGTGTAGTTGCTAAAATGTTTTTATCTGTAAGATGCATCGTCATGTAAACCAAATGCATAGCTTTTCCAATCCTTTTTTTCTACATTGAAGTTGAGCTTAAAACATTCAGTTTTGTTAAGTGATTTCAGTTTTTCTGCAGGCAGTGAATCTGAAAAGTTCAGAGATATTGGACTACCCAAACCATCAGGTGAGAAGATCGCATCTCATCTAAGCTGTTGTTGATTGTCGTCTGAATAAGTCTTATGTCGTTGGCTATTCTATGAACCAGATCTGTAATGAAGGTCGTCAGAATGCATTGGTCGAAATCTTGGAGATATTAACAGCTGTATGTGAAACTTATAAATTGCCTCTGGCTCAGACATGGGTTCCGTGCAGGCATCGCAGTGTGCTGGCTGATGGTGGTGGGTTTAAAAAGAGCTGTAGTAGCTTTGATGGAAGCTGCATGGGACAAGTCTGTATGTCTACGACAGATGTAGCATTTTATGTGGTTGATGCTCACATGTGGGGTTTCCGCGAGGCCTGTGCTGAGCATCACTTACAAAAGGGACAGGGAGTTGCTGGAAGGGCATATGCTTCTCAAAAATCATGCTTTTGTGAAGATATAGGGAAGTTCTGCAAAACAGAGTACCCCTTGGTGCACTATGCACGTTTGTTTGGGTTGTCCCGCTGTTTTGCAATCTGCTTACGGAGCACTCACACTGGCAACGATGATTATATTTTAGAGTTTTTTCTGCCCCCAAATGATGGAGACTACACTGACCAGCTGGCCTTGCTGAACTCTCTCTTATTGACAATGAAGCAGCACTTTAGGAGTCTTAGGGTTGCTTCTGGTGAGGAACTTGAGCATGACTGGGGTTCAGTTGAGATTATTAAAGCATCCACAGAAGAAAAACTTGGTTCAAGGTTTGACTCTGTGCCAACCACCAAATCTCTTCCTCAGTCTGCTAGTGTAGCAAATGGAAGGAGACATCCTGATCTAATGGAAGAGCAGCACTCCACTGTGGCAAAAGGTGCAGAGGGTGTAAATGTTACAGCTGAAGCCCATAATCATGCTTCTGTCCCCCAAAATAAACAGACTGGTAAGAAATCAGAGAGAAAACGTGGAAAAGCTGAAAAAACAATAAGCTTAGAGGTTTTGCAACAGTATTTTGCTGGAAGCCTTAAGGATGCTGCGAAGAGTCTTGGCGGTATGCTATTCAAAATATTATGAACTTCTTCTTTATCATGTTTTGCTCACAAAAAGTTTTCATTTTCCCCCTTTCCCAGTGTAATGGCTGATTTGACTATTCTCGTTAATTTTCTCGCAATTACAGTTTGTCCAACTACAATGAAGCGCATTTGCAGGCAGCATGGGATCTCTAGATGGCCATCTCGCAAGATAAACAAGGTTAACCGGTCCCTTTCAAAGCTAAAACGTGTCATTGAATCTGTGCAAGGAGCTGATGGAACATTCAGCCTGACTTCACTTGCACCAAATTCACTTCCTGTTGCTGTTGGTTCTATTTCTTGGCCTGCAGGCATAAATGGTTCGCCGTGTAAAGCTTCGGAGTACCAAGAAGAGAAGAATGAGTTCTCCAACCATGGAACACCAGGAAGTCATGAAGAAGCTGAACCTACAGACCAAATGCTTGGAAGCCGGATTATTGGGAATGAAGAGCTCTCTCCAAAGCTGAATGGTTTTGTGCGTGAAGGGTCACATAGGTCCAGAACCGGGAGCTTCTCTAGAGAAGAGAGCACGGGGACGCCTACCTCCCATGGATCATGCCAAGGTAGTCCTTCCCCTGCAAATGAGTCCTCCCCTCAGAATGAGCTGCTCAATTCACCTACACAAGAGTCGGTCATGAAAGTGGAAGGCTCTTTGGAACCAGCTCGTCAGACCACAGGAGAATTAAACTTATCCACTGCATTCCTAATGCCTGGGCTTTTTATTCCAGAACACACTCATCAACAGTTTAGGGGAATGCTAGTTGAGGATGCAGGCAGCTCACATGATCTGAGAAATCTCTGTCCGGCTGGAGAAACCATGTTTGATGAACGTGTCCCAGAATACAGTTGGACAAACCCACCATGTTCTAATGGAATTGCTACGAATCAAGTTCCTCTTCCTGTCGAGAAGATGCCACAATTTTCTTCCAGGCCTGAAGTAACATCCGTGACTATAAAAGCAACCTATAGGGAAGACATCATAAGATTTCGACTTTGTTTGAACTCTGGCATATATAAGTTGAAGGAGGAAGTATCCAAGAGGCTAAAGTTAGAGATGGGAACTTTCGATATCAAGTACCTAGATGATGACCACGAGTGGGTTTTAATCGCGTGCGATGCAGATCTACAAGAATGCATTGATATCTCAAGTTCATCAGGCAGCAATGTAGTAAGATTGTTAGTTCATGACATAATGCCCAATCTTGGTAGCTCCTGTGAGAGCTCAGGTGAATGATTAGAATTTAGGTTGTAAATATATAAAAACTAGTAAAATCATTCTTGTAGTGCTAGGTTTCTTGTCCATGTGGAGTGTAGGTTTTGGTTATGGCAGGGTCCCCTGTAATTGTAGAAAGTTTTTACTTTTCAATTGTATTCATCTTGTAAGCTTAAGAAAATAAGTTTTTTGCTTTTGTTGTTGCAACTTACATTCATTTGTCCATTTGGAATTTTTTTATATGGACTATAAAGATTCATATAGTCGATCTTAATTGTTTTGAAAGTGAAATATAATTCTATGGTTGTTTATTTGGGCATATTAGAAACAACACTATGCACACCATTTTTTTCTGACTTCAAACATGAAAGTTATTGTTTTGGGACTTTATTATTAGTGGAATAAATTTTATGATTGAAACATAGGATTTGATAACTTCGCTGTAAAATCAACTGTGACGAAAATTTAGTTAATACGTGTTGCAAACTCTGTGAACTACTATTTTTTTTTTAAGTATCTACGATTCATTAATTTCTTTCACAAATTATAAGGCCAAGTCAAATATTGTAATTCAGTTAAATTATTATAAAATTAGAGTTAAAATTCATTAATGAAATTAAAATAAAATAATTTTTTAATTTATGTGAGTCCAAAATTTATCAAAACAATCATTTTATTTTTATAAGGTTAGGTCCTATAAAAATCATTTTCCTCAATTTTCATATTCTACTTATCGAATATATTATTATTGTTATTAAGAAGTAATAGTACATATGTGTGAATTCATTGACTTGTTATTATAACTCATATATATAGAGTCAATGACCTTTGTGGACCGATCAAAAAATAAAAATGATTAACAATATTCCTTTTGATCATTCTGCAAATATGATGGAACAGATAAGGAAAAATCAATATCCTATGATTAATGATGATGTTTATGAAGTATATACATCATCTGAATTCATGAATTATATTGGAGAACCATTGTCTTGCTCTGAAGAACGTTCTAATTTCCATTTAATGGTTTTTTGGACAAACAATCAACCTCAATCTACTTGTAAGTAAATAACTTTTCTTTTAATTAGCTACGGATTTATGTTATATATACTGACGGTATAAAAGAAATTTCACTCAATTTAACGGATTATAGTAAGAAAGTATTTCTTGAAAGATGTTTTCTTGGAAAATAAATGAGTTAAACTCTTTCTTGAAGGTGTGAAGGAAAAGATCAAATTAGCACTTCAGAGAATTGAAACATCCCAAGTAATTTTACTACAGTTTTGGGGACTGGAAAATATTGAAGGTAGAAAGTTTCTATCAACTTCAGGACAACCATTTGGTCTTAGATATCTATATAAAGGACTCTGTTGGTATAGAAAACATTGCCAAGGTTACAAATATAGTGTCGATAAGGGCGAAAATCATGAACAAGGAATGGAAAAAACTCATCTTTTTGGTCCACCTACACGAGTTTTCCAGCAAAAATTGCCTGAGTCAAGTACTCATGTGGGGTATTACACGAATGAAGAGTTTCCGATGAGGGATCATGTTCTCCAGTGTGGTGTTCGGACTTATTTGGCTTTGCCTGTGTTTGAACCTGTTGACAAGAATTGCATTGGTGTGATTGAGCTTGTTACAGTTTGGAAAGGTGGCTACTTGACTTGTGAAGTTGAACGAGTACTCAATCCGCTTGAGGTTCGTCCTATCTCCTTATTATTGGCCTCTATACAGACACATAGATGTAATTTTAAGTTATAGTTTGAGTTTCTTGAGCCAATGGTCTACCTTTAAACTCTCATTTTCAGTGTTTTTTTAAATAATAGTTTGGCGGATTTTTGTTCTTTTGGACTAAGATTTTGGTCTCATTGCAGGCAGTAGATCTCAAATGTCCTAAAATATTTCTCAATAAAGATAGAAAAGTAAGTTGCACAATTCATACCTTTTATCAGTCATCCTTTGTGAAAACCAGTATTTTTTATCTGAGCAAAATCCTTGGTAACCAGGTACAAGCAGAGAAATATAATGAAGGGGAGGAATTCAAAAGGATGTTAAAAATCGTGCGAGAAACACACAAGTTGCCTTTCATTCGTGTCTGGATTCCCTGTGTGAATCTAGAAATGGACCACAATGGCATGTATGTTGGCTGCACCGAGCTTGCCATGTCTGCTAGCAATGAAGTTTACTTTGTCGCGGATGAGGAAATGGATGCTAACGATCATGTTTATGATGACTACTATTATGATGATATGTTATGTTTCCGAGACATCTCCAAGTTACAACCTTTGCAGAAAGATCAAGGGGTTGTTGGGAAAGCATTTTCTTCTGGCAAGTTGTGCTATTGCACGAACATTACTGAGTTCAGCATAATCGAGTATCCTTTGGTACATTATGCGCGTTGGTGTGGATTGACTACTTCTTTTGCTATTTGCTTGAAGAGTAGAGACGATGCGTACATACTAGAGCTGTTTCTTCCCCCTGATAACGGAGATCCAAATATGTTGCTTGGATCAATTTTGACTACAATGGGACAGCATTTTCAAAATTTCAAGTTTGCTTCAGGTCAAGAGCTAGGAAATGATTCAAGTGTTCAAGTTGTTAAAGCTTCTTCAGATAAGAATGTGGATTACTTTCATATTTATCAAACTAGAGATAGTTCGTTTATGCCTGAAGTATTGCACGTTGAAGATAGTCGGAACCAACTAATGGAAGGCAACGAAAATCACATGGAGAAGAAAGAAGGTAGAAAAAATAATACTTTTTCTTAGTTGCCATCAAATTTAGTACTCCATGGTGATAAGGTGAATATGTCTGAATCCTTTTTACGTATTGAAATGAGGTATTGATTATTATCATCTTGTGCTGCAGACAGAAAACAATCGATGGTTCAATCCAATGTGTTAAGTATCGATTCGCATGTTATATCAGAGAAGCAATGTGTAAGTGTTAGTCATTTGCAAAAAGAAAGCAGAACCAGAACTAAAGATTCTGTCAACTATGATGATCTCAAACAGCATTTTGACAAGAACCTTTCTGATGCAGCTAAAAGCCTTCAGAGTAAGTTCTTTCCTCATTTTGTTTCTTCAATTCCGACCCCTTTTAAGGTACAAAAAAGAAATATGCCATTGGGCTGCACCAGGGGCGGAAGGACGCCATGTAGGACGTGAATTGCCACTATGAACAAGTGTGTCTGCTTGCTCAATTCTATACAACTTAGTTATGCACACCCAAAGTTGGAGAATATAGATTCCAGATAAGACCAAGTTAAAGGGCATGTATTACGCCTATCTTTTAGCTGACTTGACCGTAGATTATCTTTTAGCTGACTGACTTGTCAGTACAAGTCACTTATAATCATCTTTTAGCTGACTTGACATAACAGTCGAAGTTACTTATAATTATCTTTTACCTGACTTGACAATTGGAATTACTTATAGTCATCATTTAGTTGACTTGACAGTTGAAGTTACTTATAGTTATCTTTTAGTTGGTCAGATAGTAGAAGTTAAAACTCAAATATCTTTTTCTTGTTTTAGTTAGTCGATCTACACTGAAGCGATTATGTAGAAAGTATGGTATTCGAAGGTGGCCATTATCGAAACGAAAGAAGTCTAGTGAATCTGATCAGCAGACATTAACTAAGGTTTCAAAGAAGAACAAATCAATAGGTTCAGAAACTACAACACAAAAAGATCATGAGAGTTGTAGCAGCAGTTTTACAGTGAAGGCAACATTTGGAGATGATATGATGAAGTTTAAATTGTACACATTTTCAAGAAAAGATGATTTGGATAATGAAGTGTCTAAAAGGTTAAAATTACCAATTGGAAGATTTAGAATAAATTATATGGATGAAGATAATGATTGGATATGGATTGCTTGTGATGATGATTTGAGTGATTGTTTTAATAATGCTCAATCATTAGGGAACAACACAATTAAGATGTTGGTTTTACCAGCAGCCATCAATCATCATTTTGAATTGTAATTTTACACTCCCTTAGCTGGACTCTACGTGTATTGGACTATCCTTTTTTTACATGCTCATATACTTATTAATACGTTGTTATATATGATGTTAGTAACATCATGTTATGTTACTAACTTATGTGACACATTTACCCTCTTAGCCTATCTCAAGAAGAATGATTGATACCTTTTTCTTTTTTGAAAATTAATTACTTTTAACATTTTACTTTTAAAATAATGATATGACTTTGTTAAGACTCTCTGCACCATTTATTTGAATTAGAAAGCAAATGGAACTCTTTTTATTCCTAGTCTAAAATGATAATTTTGGTACTTTTGAGTATAATTGGTTTAACATAGGAAAGTCTTCCATCATCAATTTTTTTTATGCATTCTTATACTTTAAATTAAATTTCGTTATATAAAATTTAATTAAAATACATTATATTTGAAACTATTTTAGAAGTACATTACCATCAAACATCAAATAAAAAGAGATAGAAACTTTACATAAAACGACTAATAATTCTGAAAATGTATGAATATTAATAAACAAAAAGATCAAAATTGCACATTCCAAACAATTAAAAGCTAAATATATTTTCTTTTATATTAACAAAAAAGAAGATACCTTTTGTTAAATATTAATTACTACAAGGACTAAAATTAGAAACTTATAGTAATAAAGGGACCAAAAAGGTTATTAAGCCAAAATGATTTTTTCCCTGCCTTTGACGAACACCACCAACTAAAGAGTAGCACCACTTTATACACAATCGCCAACAGAAGCCCTCAGTTTCAGATCTCTCATAAAGGTAAGATTTTACTATAAATTTTGATGTTATATTAGTTTATTAATAAAGGGTGTTCGTGTTCTTGTATTTTACATGTTTTTTTTAAAATCTAATTTCTGTAGTTCTTGTTTTTTATCATCCTTTGAGAAAAAAGATTCAATCTTTATTGTATAGATATAATCTTTATGAATTTTAAACCGATTATTACTTGGTTAATTAGCAAAAGAAAGCACCCCATAAAAGTAACAGTATTGCCACAGCATCCTGGATTGGGGATGGGGTGTGTGTGGAGGTGGGGGTGGGGAGGGCTTTGATGTTTGCTCAAGTTTTGATTTTTCTGTTTATTGGTTGCAAATTGGAGGAATATAATGGGCTGAATAGTGCAATGGTGTAGCAAGGAATTTCGCTAAGCGTGTTAATTTTGAGCTTATGCAACTTATCAGGTTCTTAATAAATTATTTATATATATTAAGTAGATTTTTAAACAGAAGCATATGGTTTGAGTCAAAATTATCGGGTTCTGCCCAATCTGTAGGCGAAGATCTAGTTCCGCCCCTATGTTGAACATTTAATATATGTGTAAGAAGTAAGAGTTAACCTATATATGCAGTATAGTTTTTCAGGAAAAAGGTGTCCAACTGAATTGACCACCCTTTGGTGTACATAGTTATGCCCCTGCGGATATAGTGTATTCGGCGTAGAGGATGTTATATAGAACTGGCTAAATAGTTTAGGATTGAGGCTAAGTTTATTAATTGATTGATAGGTGAAAATAGTCAGTGACATGTGTGGAGATTGAATTAATAAAAAATTATTGTGATTCAGAATTTGTGAATTTTGCCCTCAATGTTTTTATTGTATATGGAGTGGAAGATATAGTATTATTCTGCTTCTTGTGCTTGTTAGGTCGGTGCTCTTTTGCTTAGTTAAAATGGTGCTTGTTCACTACTATGTGTTTATTTTCATAGAAAGTTTGGTTGGTGGGTTGTTCTTAGTGCTAGAGTTGAAGATGGAAAGTAGTGGTCGCGGAGGTGGTTTTAATTGGATGGTGACTTAATGAGTAAGAGGTTCAAATGACTGCTTGGTGCCAAATTAGATGGTGAAAGAACATACTAATTATATGCAAGATACTCACCCTCATGGCAAACTATGATCTATATTGGCATTTTCCGGTATAGCTCAACTTTATATAAATAAATAGATAAATAGCTCTATATCTTTATTAATTTTTCATTTCCTCTCTCTTAAATAGCTGTGTCCTGTGTTAAAACCGGAAACATCGGAATAAACACATAGGATTATGAGTAAGAGAATTTAAGGGAAAGATGATGTGAGACTGTTAGAAGTATGAGTAATTCATGGCTCTGACCAAAGCATATGTTGGTTTTGGTTGCTTTTATTACAAGTGTAAGTGTTCTTTGGAATGACTGCTTGTAAAGGGAACATAGGCGGTGAATTGGGTTGAGGATTGCTTAAAATGGCAGGTCATTTGGCAAGTAGGGGTTGTAAATTGTGGTTGGAACGGTTCTGTGGAAATGCATGCAACACCATATTCAGCTTTTCTCCTTTTTATTTGAACACGATTGAAGGTTACACAAAAGGCATAACTCTTTAGATTCTTATTTATTGCATCTAAAAGATTCATATGTCATTAGTGGTAGAAGTTTCAGAGTTCCTTCCTGATATTCTCACTGCTTCAAACCACTTTTGCAATCTCGTCCCTGGTAAAATGATATTTTCTGTCCATTGGTGGTCTAGCACTGACCGAACTTTCTCAGGAGTGAAGCACAGTATTAGATACTCTTCTGGTGATTTTGCACAGTGTTTCTTGATAAGTCCCGACAGGTCACATAAAAGAACTAGTGTTTATCTTTCCCCTTTTTCGATGTTATATGTTATCTTGGCTGCTGCCTGCTGCCTGCTGCTATATGGACGGCATCCAATTATTAACAGGATATTTCATGTTTTTACAGTTCTGGCAATACTCAATTTAGTTGATAACTATTGTCATATGTTTATGGCTCAATTGCTGTTGATATACCTAAGTTTGTTTTAACAATTGCAGGATATTTCATATAGCTTGTCGGAAATGGCTTCATTCAAGGCATTTTTGAACAGCCCTGTTGGCCCTAAAACAACTCATTTTTGGGGTCCTGTAGCCAACTGGGGATTTGTCATTGCTGTATGCCTATCTATTGCAAAATTTTACATTATGTTATTCGCTTCTAGTTAACTCTTTTTGCTGAGTTCCATTGATGGTACGTTGTAGGGATTGGTCGACACACAAAAACCACCAGAGATGATATCAGGCAACATGACCTCAGGTAGAAAATGTGTACTTAAATGAACGTTGAGTCGTTGACTTGAAATGATATACGCCCACCCTCACCCTTCTTTTCCTTCTGGATATTGCAGCAATGTGTGTTTATTCTGCGTTGTTCATGAGATTTGCATGGATGGTTCAGCCTCGGAATTATCTTCTTCTGGCATGTCATGCCTCAAATGAGTCAGTGCAACTCTATCAACTATCACGTTGGGGAAAGAGTCAAGGGTAAGTGATCAATGAAATATCATTTTCTTGATGATTAAAAAAAAAATATCACTTTCTCTGTTTCATTCTATTGACTTGGTTTGACTGGCACATAGTTTAAAAAAGTAAATGAGACTTGAACATTGTACTCTTAAACTAAAGATGTGTATTGTGTAGCAAAATGTCCTTCGAATTTTGTACTTTTAGTCTTAAACATTTCCATGCAGCATGTTGTAATTGAAAAGTTACACTACATAAATTGACAATCTTTCTGAAACATATAGATTGCGATTTTTATGAGATAGAGGGAGTACTAGCTAGGGAAAAGAGTGAGAGAAAGGAAGAAGAAAACATACATACAGCCAATGGACCCTTAGGAGAGATAAGGAAGGTATTAAGAAAAGGAATCCTGTCTTTGACGATCCAGTTTTAGCTAGCAAGTGTGTAGACTCATACTTTGACGACTCCCTAGGGTGCCAAATATCTACTAGGGGGAAGGGTTGATATGGATTTGTTCAGGTAACCTGCACTAATAGAAAATAACTATTTTCCCATTGAAATTTCCCACTGAATAATGTTCAGATAATTTGATTGAATTAGTGAGAAAAGAAAAATAGTAGTGTTTTCACACTGTAAAATTATGAAGCCCCCGGTGTTTCGATGAGAATTTGTTTCTTACATGTGTTTTCCCCATGAGCTAGTTTGGTGGGAAATGGGTGGGATAATCATGTTCTGTAACACTTCTCCATTAATTCACGGTGGGAAAAACCTTTGTTTCTCGTTGTGCCCTTTCATCGTCTATGTCTTTCTTCTCCGGTACGCCCACTCCTGAAAGAGTCCCATAGTCCATTGTCAAACGACACTTGGTTAAGAGGGAGGGAGAAATATTGATCATATGGGTATTATGCCACGATTACTCCTTTACAGCAGATTATGATTACAACACTGTCTGATTGGGATTTAAGGAGGAGGTGGTGAAGGTATATAACTAATGAGGTATGTTGAAGTAGGGAAAACGGGATACGGCAAAAGATTTGATTACGTATCTGATTTTTTCCCATGAGCACTTGCACCATTTGGCAGCAGAGTTCTAGACGACATGCACACAATTTTAGTTTGCTTTCAAAGATGCCGAAAACAGGTGGTGTGGCCAGTTGTTATAGCTTTATCTATGACTTGAGAGTTTGGACTGCCTACTTTAACTTTTTTGCGAACCTACCTACGCTAATTCCGCAGGGTACCTGCTATAAGTCTCTCCACTATCACTTGGATAGATGAGAAGAAATCAACAAGTGTTTCTTGTGAACCTAGATAATCCAAGGATTTTATAGTGCTTTTGAATCTTCTGCTTGCAATTACACTCTTATAATATTTTGCTACATGTGCTTTTCATCTGATGTTTCTACTTTCTCTTTTCCCTGCAGATATTTGCAACAGAATGCAGCCAAAGCAGAGTGATCTAGTGTTCTTTCTTGTTTATTTTTGGACAGATTTGCTTGGCATTTCTGAATGCTTTCATCAATTGTTGCAAAAATGTTTATAAAGAATACATTAAACTTTTGCAGTTTGAATGACTGTTGGATCTACACGTTAATAAACCTAGAAAAAAGTAATAATTTTTGGAATCGGTTGAGAAATGTCTGCGATTGATAAGAGTTGTTGTCATATGATCGGGAAAGAAATAACTTTTTGCAGAAATACCCTGCGGGTATACTATAAACCTTTGTGGTGGTCTGGTATTTTTATGGAGCTTATACTGCATCGTGCTGTCCCTTTTTAGCGACATAAAAATATTAAGCTCGATTAAAATTGTATCAATAGCGATGTCAATAAATA